ATTAGGGTAGAAGAAGAAGAGTCGGGAGAGTAACTCTGGTCCCTAAGTCTCTTGGTGTCAGGAAATTTATGTTTCATTGCTTATTTTTAATTAATTTTTTAAAAATAGGCCCAACCTAGGAAATTGTGACTTCCAATTTTAGCAAGTGCCTATGACAAGTAAACAAACAAGATAATGTCAGCTAGTGACAAAATGACCCAGCACAATATGGGAGAGAGCTCAGGCTCAGCTTGAGGGAGCAGGACAGTGGTTCCACCTTGAAAGTGCTGAGTTGATCTCAGCAGAAGGATCAAGGCTATGGCAGCAAGTGCATCTGTGAGGTTAGTCACTGGCCAGGGGTTGCCCTCCAGGACATCTGGTTTGTACTGGCTTTAATTTCCAGAATAGGTAGCTGAGCTTAGAAACATTTGGTGACTTGATAGAATAGTCACAGCCAATAAGTGACAAAGGGCAGAACAGAAACCCAACTCTCTGTACTGGAGGACAGTGTATTTTCTATAGCACCAAATACCCGTGCTTTAGTTTCCTATTGCTGGTCTAACAAATCATGACTAAATACAACTCAAATTTATTATCTTAAACTTCTGGAGGTCACAAGTCTGAAATGGGTCTCATTGAGATGAAATCAAGGTGCTGGCAGGGCCATCTCCTTCTAGAGGTTCCAGGAGATGATCCCTGTCCTTGTCTTTTCCAGCTTCTAGAAGCTTCCTGTGTCCTGGGCAACAGGCCCCTTCCTGTACCTTCAAGGCCAGCAGCACAGCATCTCCAAGTTTCTCCAAGTCTCATCTCCAAGCCTCTCTCCCTGGCTCCCAACCCCCATTCTCCCAAGTCTGATCCTCCTGCCTCACTCTTATGAGGACCCCTGGGATTACACTTGGCCTCCCTGAATAATCCAGGTTAATCTCCATATCCCAAAACCCAGAACTTAATCATGCCTACAGAATCCTTTTGACCACATAAGATAACATGTTCTTCGTTTCCAGAAATTAGGACATAGACATCTTTTAGTGCCATTATTCAGCTTACCACCACCCCCTCAGGAATACCACTCAGAAGCAGGACCTCTGACAATCATAAAAATAAGAAATTTAAAAATTGCAAACAGATAGGGAGAAGAAGGGAACAGGAACAAACAAAGCCTACAGACTCTCAGGTTCTGAGTCACTGTGAGAGACAGAACAGCATAGCGTCATCCAGTTCTCAAGCCTGGCTACACATTAGAATCCCTCAAAAGGCTCATAACAACTACCAGTGTCCGGGCCTGGCCCCTAGAGATGCTGCTGCAATTAGAATGGGTGGGCTGGGCATCATTTTGAAATTCCTCCTAGGGGATTGTTAACAGAGCCCAGATTCTAGAATCAGACTACTTGAAATCAAAGACTACTATGTGCTTGACCTGGTGCACTTTATTTAACTTTGTCTCAGTTTCTTCTAAAAATGAGAATGATGATATTATTAATATCATCATATTAATTATGGGTGGGCCAGCTTTAAGCAATCTAAAGTAACTGCTTAAGGAAGGGGAAAAATGGAAAAATGAAAATGTTAATTTTTTTTTTTTTTGCTAACCTTTCATTGATTATTTGTTCTATCTATTGGATGGAAAGACAACTCCTTAGTGAGGATTTCCCTGGGCTGTTGCCTCTTCTATTGATCTGTATTTGTCTTCTGTATATACTTTCTGAATTTACAGTAGCTGATCTCTCAGATCACCCATTAGAGTGGTTTGCTGCCCAGCCCTGTATCCAACATTGTCTACAAGAAGACAGTCCACTTGTGCCTTGTCAATACTCACTGCTATAGTTATTGTTTATTCCTCTGTTGTTGTAAATTGCAAAGCCAAAGCTTTGCAATGACACACATAAGTATGAATCTTTATTGCTCCCATTTCAGCAGGAAGTAGCCTAATAACTATGTTGCCCCTCCTACCAAATATGAAAGCCTAAAATTGACAGTGGGGAATATGTAACAAAGGGATGGTCCTAAAGAAGAAGGAGGAAAAAAAATTTTCTATCTCTGTAAAACTTCCCCCAATCTTTTTGGGAACTGCAGCCTAGCCTGCATCTCTGAGGCAGGTTAAGTCTTTTGTTAAATAACTCTCAGGTGGTGCCAGCCCCACAGGTGGGTGGCTGGTGGAGTTCAAAGGCTTCATTTATTGCAGAGATGGGAGATTAATTAACCACAATATGCTAGAACTGAGGGGCCCTCCCTTTAAAAGCTCTGTATTTCTATGTTCAGGAAATTTGGATTTTGAGATGACAAATTCTGTCATTTTTCTTCTTTTGCTGGCAAAGTAATCTCTGTCCTCCTCCCCAAAATACTTGTCCTTGTTCTTCCAATTTGGCTTCATGGACAAGTGCCAAGTTTTTGGTAATAAGATTAGTCTTATAAAACCAATTTATAAATGTGCAATTGAATAATGAATCTAGCCTTATGATTCTATTTCATTTTCACTAAGTTTATACACAGTATTGGAATATGTAAGAAAACTTAAGTTTCACCACATTTATAAGTTTAATAAATTAATGTATTTATAAGTTTAATAAATGTTTAATAAATAATAAAATTTGTAAGAATAACTTCAGAACCTGGGAAGGTTCATTAGTTAATTGAAGTACTTAAGAAGGACATTAGAAATATTTAATTCATAAATACAATTTAAAGTATGTTGGTTTTAGAGTGGTGAGCAAAGCTGCCTTCCATATACAATTTAAATTGTTTGCTTAATCTAATTAAGTTTAGGATTGTGCTCAAACATTAAAGACTCTTTAAAACTGGGTGCTAGCATGTACTCTCCAATAACTGGGAACTGACCAATGGGCATACATGGGCACACAGCGATATGATGGTCACTGGAAATCAATAAGAGAGGGGTGTTGGAAGGGAGGGGTAAAAACCTACTTGTTGGGTACAATGAACACTATTCAGGTGATGGGCACACTAAAAACCCTCACTTAAGCATTATACAAGGTATCCATGTAACAAAAACTTTTGTACTCCCTTAATATTTTGAAATTTTAAAATTGGGTGTTAAAATTTGCTAGGCTAAAAAATAGAATTAAAATATTCATGAATTGAAAGTAGAAGTACACTAAAGAACTAAGTTTTTTGAATTTTTACTGATTTAGTACTAAAATCCAATGACTCTATCTACTACACATCTCTTGAAACCGCCCTTCAAGCTTACAGAAAACTCTCCCTTCATTGCTATTTAGGGAAATCATTTTATATTATTTCATGCCTGTCCTCTATTCTATAACTTTTCTCTCTCTAGAATTCACTTGAGACAGAATGTAGAATTTCTTGATATCTTCTTCATGTGTGTTAACATTTCCTTATATTTTTTAAAAAAAACTTTTGTAGACACAGGGTCTTGTTATTGCCCGAGATGGTCTTGAACTACTGGTCTCAAGTGATCCTCCTGCCTCTGCCTCCCTGAAAGGGGCACCTTTGCTGAAATTACAGGAAAATATCTAAACCCACAGTTTTCTAATAATAGCTAAACATCAATTATAGGCTCTCCCAGCTCTCTCTCCCTCTAGCCTACAGGCACCCTGCATGGACTCTGTCTTCACAAACATCAAAGGAGCCCAACAGACAAATAGGAAATGTAAATCTTCTATTTCTTTGGGATGCCATGCCAACTCCCTGCTCTCCCTCTCTTTCTTCTCTCTCTCACTCTCTCTCCTCTAAGAAAATAAACATTTTTAACTTTTATGTATCCTAATCTCTGCCTGAGAAATCTTTGTCCACCCATGCCATGAAAACCTACTAGGCTTTCTACCCTAACACTCCAAAGCACTAGGAATATAGGCACGAGTAACTATACCTGACTTTTCATAATTTTTATCTACCATTTATCTATTGTTTCCTTGTATTTTGGAAGAATTCCCCACTTCTCAGTTTCATTTTCGTTGTTCACTTACCATCCAGTGACTCCTATTCACCTCATTAATCCACATGCAAGATATTGATATAATCAATAGAGACTTAACAAATGAGCTTCCATAGTGAAGAAATGATGAGAAAGGGTATAACAATGTGGTCATAGCATAGCTTCCCAGTTCAACAATGGGATGGAAGTTTCTGCAATCAGAGATTACAGTTTCCCAAGCAAAGGAGACTGGAGGTTACAGAAATCACTGAAGAGTTGTTATCACAACCACACCCATTATTGATACTGCCTAATACTCAGTCCACACCCCTCATGTTCATAAGTACGTGACCACATAGCCTTTTCATCCACAGGCTTTGTCTGCATAGCAAAATGTCCCTCAATCATTCCTATGCTGGCATGCATTGACTTATGTAAAGGGTTTCTCCTCTTTGGCTATGACAAATGAAGCATGTGGTACTCACAAAGAAACTTTGGCAAAAGTTCAAGAATTGAGACCTCAGGTGTTTCGATGAGTTGAGACAAAATCAAATATAAAGTAACAGAGTAACCCCATCCTCACTCCTTTAAAAATGGTTTCCTCTTCAATGCTAAAGGTTTTGGAAACATGTAAACACTGTAATTTCAAATACTGAGAGAAAGGGAGGGGTGGTGGGTTATTTTCCAAGGTACTCACAGAAGCACATCTAGGAAGAAATCACCATAGGAAAAGTGGCCCTACTCCCCCAACACTGTTTGTTATTCTCCTTCCCAGCTTTGTTTTTCTTCATATCATCTATTACTGCCTCAAATTATAGAACTTACTTGTTGACCTTGTTACTGTGTTTCTCCTGTGGGAATGTTAAGTTTGATGAGGACAAACTTTGGCTTGAGTAACACTATTCCCAGTTTTTTGCACGCTGCTTGGCACATGGTAACTTCTGAATCAACATTCATTAAATGAAATATTCCATTGGTTTCCACAGATTGGTAAGCATAGTCTGGAACTGATTTTCCTCATCCTATGTTCTAAACTTCAAAACTTTTTATAGTTTTCTTATAAAATATATTTCATGGTTTCAGAAAATTTACTGCTATGTACTTCTTTACAAATCAAAATACTTACACATTCAACTTTATGCCTTAAGACTTCCCAGCACAATGTAGAGAAAAGACTTTTCCATTTTGGCTCAAGCTCACAATTTGTTAATGTTCATATCCTTCCATAAAAATGGTAGTCATCAAACATAAATCCAACAACACAACTATAAGGATACAATAATGATGTTCAAATTTATTGCTCATTTCAGGAACTACAGGCAGTTTAGCCCCAGACTGTGGACTTAGACCTGAAACAAATGGTCCTCCTCTGAGAACTCTCTAGGCTGCATCTCTCTTGTATAAGCAGAGACTAGAAGAGTGAACACTTCTTCTCTCTCATAACCGTGTAGAATATTTATAATTATCAGTTTTCAAAATTTCAGTCTTAATCCAATTCATGCTATTTATCTGATGCTAGGAGTCCCTGCTCATGCCTAGATACCAGTAATGCCAGTTTCAAGTAATAGCAGCTGACCATTTGCTCACACCTTTGAAACCCAAACTTGCCAAAGTCATAGACTCTTGCAGGTGTGGAAAAGAGCCCTGAGAAGTAGGATACACATGGAACAGAATTCCATGAGGCCCTGAAGTCTGTGGCATATGGGCATTTTCATATGCTAGAAATGTTCTAAAGTCAATTTCATTATTCAAGATAAACCTTTAGGCACCCCCATGTGCTCTTTTCATATTTCTGTAACAAGATCAGTATGTCGAGTTCTGGAACCCAAAGAATCTACTCACCTGACTCTTCAGTGTCACTGTGACATGCATCAGACTGCGCAGTCTTCTGGACTTGTCAGTGCTTCTGGAATACCAGGGAACCTCCAGGATTTGGTTGTCCATGTCTCAACTCCAGCTGCCCATGAGGCCGCCTCCTTTTCTCCATACCTGGGTCATCTTTCAAGGATTCCTGCAGTCCACCTTCCTTTTCTGTCACAGCAGAGACTGGCCTTGCTGACTAGCATTGTTCTACATTAGCTGTCCACATGCTTCCATTTCTAGATTCATAAAATGTGATAGCCAAAAGGGATCCATGATTCATTCTTCTCAATTCCTTTGCTTTACAGAGAAAGACATGGTGATTACTAGAGACCTAGAGGCTGGTTAATGGTAGACCCAGAATTGCAAACAAAACTTCCTAACTCATCATTGACTTGGGGCTGCTTAGCCCACAGACTTAATAAGGGTCCTGATTTCTTACCCAGGTATTCCATAAAAGGCTTTTCCTCATTTTAACAGAGTGGGTGGCATGGTGGCCATGTTATGGTGTGTGGTGACTTTTTACTCTTACAGGTAACACTACAACTCTCCTTTCCAGGTCTCAAATGGCTTTGCAACCACATGTCCTGGGTATCATCCTTTCATCTTCTCTGAAAAATCACACACTTTAGGAGGACTCTCCTGGCCTACCTTTCCCAGGGAGAACTCAGGTACAACAGAGAGAACACTCCCACAAAAAGGATTTTCTGTGTCCTCTAGCACTTCTGTATGATGTAAGGGTGGGGTATAGTTAAATAACAAAAACAAAAACTAGAGGCATCTGCACCAAGGTGCATGTATTCATTTATTTCTCATTCTAGCAACAAGACAAACAAGCGTAACTACATGTTCAATAAGTTACAGATGGTAGCAAGCCCAGGAACCTTGAGCGTATCTATAAGTGAAATAAAACAAATACTTTTTATAGTGTGGAAATTAAACTGTAGATGACCTGGGGAAAGTCTCTATAACCCCTGAATACTATGATGTGCACATGTGCAAAATAAACTTATCACCCAACATATTTTCAGAGCCAAATATGAAACATTTAAATTCAAATAATTCAATAAAATTGGAAATACAAACACTTCACTGAGGGTCATCCTTAGCCAGTTCTCCAAACAAAAGATGAAGAAACAAAACCATGAACAATACAAAAAACAAAGGTTTATCTAGGAAGACTGGATGTCCATCCAAATCACATCTCTTCTTCTGATTCTTGTTCTCGTTCAACATTTTTTAGGAGTCTAACTTCTGAGGGGCAGAGTGTCTTAAGTTTAGATTTAACCAACCTAAAGAGAAAGAAAAGCATTCCTAGTTAGCCAATGTTTAAAATAAAAAACCCAGAGCAATATGCATATATAATACAAGAAACACCAGATTATTCATATTTTTGGGGCAAATGAGGGAGGAAATTCAAAAAGGAAAATCACTTTTATTTGACTTTGGAGCCACCTGAAAATTTTCTGGGTGAAAGCAGGGTATAAGTAAACAGATACATGGTGGCTTTTGCATACATTGCATAATTGTTTTTCATTTTTTTTTTTTTCTTTGAGACAGAGTCTCACTGTGTTGCCTGGGCAAGAGTGAGTGGCATCAGCCTAGTTCACAGCAATCTCAAACTCCTGGGCTCAAGCAATCCTTCTGCCTCAGCTTCCCGAGTAGCTGGGACTACAGGAACGTGTGCCACCATGCCCGGCTAATTTTTTCTATTTTTAGTTGTTTGGCTAATTTCTTTCTATTTATGGTAGAGATGGGGTCTTGTTCTTGCTCGGGCTGGTCTCGAACTCCTGAGCTCAAGCAATCCTCCCGCCTCACCCTCCCAGAGTACTAGGATTACAGGCCTGAGCCACCATGCCCGGCCAGCATGATTATTTAATTAGACATCAGAAGATAACTTTAATCATTTCTAAAACAAAATGAAGTCCAGATGAAACCAAGCTCAGTCAATCTTCTCCATCAAAGCCACACCTGGCTGTGTATTGCAAAAAGGTGCCCTTTCCTGTAAAGGAAGGGCATAAAGTCCTCTCCTTCCCTAGGGTTGGCAACCCAAGTCAAGCCCCATGTCAAGTCTGGGCTAAACTTCAGCTCCCTACTAGCCTCTTCAGTGGGTGCTTTTGTACAGAGCACAGGATGTTCCGCTGCATGTGATTGGCTCTGTCCATCATAAATTAAGAAGTTAAAAGAGGTGAACTCCACCCTTGTGACTATTTTCACAGCTTAAAAGAATGTGTAGAAAAGAATGTGTAGGAAAGCAGCAATTACAATTGTGAAATTGGAAGGTGTGAAGCTTCTTAGTAGCAAAAGCTCAGCAAGTGCTCCACTTCTCTGATGTGAGAAAAATTGTGTGTCATAAGAACTATGCAAAGATTTTCCTATGCACGATTATTATAAACACATTATACTGTGATCATGTCAAGAAAACTTAATTTCTAGAAATACATAGGAATCTGCAAACTAACTTGATAAACCAAATCACCAATATCACACTCCTTTTATGAAAACTTTACCATCCCACCTGCATCTTTAACCTTATTTTCTAACAACCTTCTTCTGATGAAGGCTAGTCTGTCACAATTGATATGTAATGCCTTTACTTGTGCTCTGGCTCTCACTAGAATATAAGCTTCATTATAAGCAGGGATCTCATCTTAATTACTGCCCTGACCCCCACCAGAGTCTGGAACAATGTCTGCAATTAACAGTAGCTCAATACAAATTTGATAAATAAATGACCTTTGGAGCAATCTGCCAAGAGTACATATCACTCACCTATTCATAGAGGCTAATTGTTCAGTCACTTCCAACTCAGCATTAAATTCTCCAGTAAATAACAACAACAGAGTAGTATCAGTAGCATCTGTTGACTCAAGAGCCAAGGAAAACTACTGGAAATCATTTGCCTTGATTATTTTAGTTGACTCTTGGTCAACTTGGTTCCCAATATCCTCATCTCTGCCAGCCACTGTTCTCATGAAAAGCTAATACTCTTAAGAAAGTTAAAGTCAGGACAGTGTTTTGTCATTTTCTTAAAACCACACATTATTTCCACATTGTACAACTTTAATATACGCTCAATGAAATGGATTAATCTATTGATTAGTTTCATTCCTGATGACTCTTATGGAAAATAAAGACATGGCTGCTTATTACAAATTAATTGTTAACACAGACCCTAGTGACTCTTCCTGCCCCTCATTTCCCCTGTCTGGGTTGTATGTCCTGTTGCTACAAGCCACCATCCTGGGATATGTTCAGATATCTTACCCAGGCTCTATCTGCCACCAGTAGCAATATGCAGAAATGGCCACGTGGAGCACATTGACCAATGGGGAAATAAAGAGGATGTACAAATAATTGCCATTTACTGGAATAGCACAAATCCAGAAAACTAGTGTCAGAGTATGCCTATGCTTTTACTCCCATATGTTTTCAATTAGTATGAGAAAGTGCATAACTAAGATAATAGGTGTATTTCCACGAAACCATCACATGCCTGAAATTTGGACATCCCTATTTTGTTCTTCAAAATTATTCACATGATTTATTGCTTAGAAAACCAAGCTGCAATTGGATAGTATTTCCCTACTTGCAGAGAGAGGTTTTTGAAATAATTCTGTGCAACAATGGGGTTTACATGAGAGATACAGTAAAATATGCAATGAGGTTTCCAAACAGTTCTTACCTATGAGCTATCATAATCAAGGCTGCAGGCATGGAATAGGATGAGGCAATCCTAAACCATTATTCTGGAAGGCTGGAAGTACAGCTTAATTTTTCAGAGTTCCTTAATCCAGCTGTGCTTCTAGGGTGATCTCTGTGCTATGTCAAACATATTCTAAGACAATATTCTGACAATACATAACTTGTAGATAAGCTCAAACCACTCTGGAGTGAAATCCTGACCAACAGACTTTTTAAGGCACCTTAAGATTACAGGACTGGATCAGCCTGCCATGTGACCTCATCAAAGACAGTGCTGAATCTCCATGATATTTTTGTGCTTTTGCTTAAGTTTATATTAAAATATGTCTGAAAAATTCTTGGTCTTATTGTTCCAAGAGCAATATGAAAGCAAAACAGAAAAGCATATAAAACATGATTTCCTAACAAATGAAACCTATATTTACGTGGCTACATGGGTCTATTAAACCAGCAAACAAGTGTTTATTGAGAACCTACTATATGTTTGGCAGTGTGCCAAAAGGTGTGGGACAGATGTAAAGGGTCTTTATCTCAAAGAGACATAATCTAGCCAGCAGATAAGACTAAGACACATGAACTAATAGTAAACATCATGAAAGAGATCACAATTATTAAAATGTATGGTGTAGACTAAGTGCTATAAAATGTTGAAGGGATATGAGCAAGGGCTCCAAGAGTCATGGAAGGTTACACAGAAATGTGCATAGCCAAACAAGGAAGAGACAAGGAAGCAGTTTCTTCACTCAGAGCCTCAGCACCAGAGCTGCCTTAGCAGGTAAGCAGAAAGCAGGAGGGCTGACCTGGGGCCCATGTCTGGAGAGAAGAGTGGAAAGTTGGCGCCCACAGAGGCTGAGACCTCACTGGGCCTAGAAGTAGCTATTGCATTTCAGGAATCTAAAGAACCTACTAGTGGGTAGTATCCAATATAGTAGCCAGTATTCACATATGGATATTTAAATTAATTAAAATGAATGTGGCACTAACCACATTTTAATTGCTCAATAGCTAGTGGCTACCATATTGAATACTGTCAATAGAGAACATGCAGGCATAGAACATATTAATCAGTGCTGAAGTCTAAAGGATTAGGCACTAGAGCCTTTCTGCCTAGTAACTGGGATCAGCCAAGCCCACTGTGGTTTATCCACCTCCTTAGGGAGAGGAACTGTGACCACCCCTTAGTATTCCTGCTCATTCTTCAAACTGCAGCTTCATTTTCAGTTGTAAGGACACCTCCCCTGAGCTCTAATAGTGTCTTTATTCTCCTACTATTTCCATTTATTGCACTATATTTTGAATGTCTGTCTCTCTAATTTAGTCCTAATTATAGGAATAAAAATTCCTCAAGCTCAGATTCTATTACTTCATTCATTTTTGATACCATAATATGGTGAAATAAAAAAATTGAAAAAAAAAAAACAAGAGCAACAAGAATAGCAAGACAATAACATTTATTGAGCTCTCAATATGTCCTAAGCAGTTCAAATACATGAACTCCTTTAGGTACTATTATTACCTCCATTAGACAAAAACAAAAATTAAATTTAATGTGTTTAAGTAAATGGTCCAAAGTCATTCAGCTGATAGACAGTGGAGCTAGGAATATGTGTTCTTATCAATCTATCATTCTGTTCCTCACCCACTCATGAAACATTACATTGAGATCCCTGTAAAATATGTATTACTCAACTGACTGTTACTTTTAAACATATTAGAATCAATGCCAACTTAATCAGGCACTCAAATTCAGTGAGACACATGCATGTTGGTCAAAAACTGACTCCAAGCTTAAGAAGTGCTATAATTGCATGGTGTACACCTGGGGAACTGGAGGCCTCACGGCAGGCGGTGGGTGAGGAGACCATTCATAAGAGCAAGTAGCATATACAAAGAGAGAGAGACATACAAGAGTGTGTTGACAAGTAACGCATGGGTCAAAAGAACAACATAGATACTGTTGAGATATTCCAACATTATAAATGCATTTATTCCTTTTACTGCGAATTTCTGTGTTTACAGAAAATTTTCTGTTTTGCTATCCTGTCTTGTGGGATGGTGAGGAATGAAATCCACACTTGAATTTTAAATTCAATGTTATTGAGTCTTGATAATCATAAACCGAGAAGCAGAATTTCCATTAACAGAAATCACTAACTTACCAGGTGACAAAAGCGTAATTCACTCCAATGATGATAAAGCTTACTGCATAATGCCAGCAAAAGCATATGGTGAGAAACATAATGTTGTCATGATCCATCAGATTCCATGCAGGAGCCCCACTGGGGGGAAACAGGACAAAACCAATCTATAATTTAAAACAAAAAGCACATATTAAAATAACCAATCACATTCTCAAAACTGGTACCTTTCAAAATGCTTCATTCCAAGATGAATAATAACTAAGATAACCCTCATTATCCAAGATATAACAGATAAAAACATCAGGATTTGCTGCCTGCTTTATTAATAAGACAGTATCTACTACATCATAGTTTTGAAAAAGAATTTTAAAGGACATTTAATAATAAATTTACAAAATATAAACAGTAATCATCTCTGAGAGTGGATGGACCTTCAAAGAATGTCGTAGGTATCTACATGTGCAGTTTCACTGTGTTATTTCAAATTTAAAGAACAAAAAGGTTTTAAAATAAATAAATGTCCACAATTAACATTATGTTCAATAGTGAAAGACTGAAAGCTTTCCCCCCTAAGATAAAAAACAAGACATGGCTGTCTGCTTTCACCACATCTATTCAACATTATCCTGCAAATTTTAGCTATAGCAATTAAGCTAAAAAATAAATAAAAGGCAACCATATTGAAAAGAAAGAAGTAAAACTACCTATATTCACAGATTACCTGGTCATATATACAGAAATTCCTAAAGAATCCACCAAACAATCTATTACACTTAATAAATGACTTCAGAAAAGTTGAAGGATAAAAAATTAACACATAAAAATCAGTTGTATTTCTTTGCTCAAGCAATGAACAACCAACCCTCCCCTCCAACATTAAGAAAACAATTCCACTTACAATAGCATCGAAAAACATAAAATACTTAGGAATAAATTTAATCAAGAATATTGGAGACTTTTACACCAAAATCTGCACAGCATTCCTGAGAGGTGTTGAAGAAAACTTTAATAAATAGAAAGCAATCTCATTTTCATAGGCTGGAAGGCTTAATATTGTTGTGATGGCAACAGCACTCAAAGCAATGTACAGATTCAATGCAATCCCTATCAAAATCCCAATTGCCTTTTTTGCAGAAATGGAAACAGCTGATTATAAAATTCACATGGAATTGCAAGGGATACAGAATAACCAAAATAAACTTGAAAAATAAAAACAAAGTTAGAGGACTCAGACTTCCTGATTGCAATACTTAATACAAAACTACAGTAATCAAATCAGGTGGGATTGGCATAATGACAAACATATAGATCAATGAAATCAAATTGAGAGTTCAAATATAAACCCATATATGTATGGTCAACTGGTTTTTGACAAGGGTGCCAAAGCCATTCAATAGGAGAAAGAGTAGTCTCTCTAACAAATGGTGCTGGCAGTTTTGTAGACATGTGTTTACTGACTACTGACTGTGTCTTTGGTCATCCTGTTAAAAGAAATGGAAAATTCCTATATGTCCACTTAGGTGTTGATCTGTTAATACCAATTTGCTGGTGAGTACATGTGGTGCTTGTTTTTCCCTTCTTGAGATACTTCACTTAGTAGAATGGGTTCCAGCTCTATCCAGGAATATACAAGAGGTGTTATATCAACACCTAAGTGGACATATAGGAATAACAATTATCGGGTGTCGGGCAGGTCGGAGGGGGAGGAGGAGATGGGTATATACAAATACAACGAGTAAGATATGCAATGTTTGGGGATGGACACACTTGAAGCTCTTACTCAAGGGGGAAGGGGGGCCATGGGCAATATACGTAACTTTAACACTTGTACCCCCATAATATGCTAAAATAAAAAAAAATTTTTAATGGAAAATTAAAGCACGACAATAAAACTGTTTAAAAACTAAACAAATGGTCCTGGGATAACGGGATACTCACATGTGAAAAAATGAATTTAGACCCCTACCTCATGTTCTATATAAAATTAACTCAAAATGGATCACAAACCTAAATATGAAAGCTAAAATCATATATCTCCTAGAAGAAAACATAGGGAGAAAGATTCATGACCTGGGATTTGGTGATGGTTTCTTAGCTATAACAGCAAAAGCACAATCAACAAAAATAAAAACAGATAAATGGGACTTCACCAAAATTAAAACTTTTAGTGCTTCAAAGGACAATGTCAAAAAAAGATAACTCATAGCAAGTAAGAAAACTATTTGTAAATCATATATCTGATATGGGATTAATATCTAGAATTTATAAAGAATTCCTAAAACTCTACAAAAAATTTTTTCAGTGGGCAAAGGAGTTCAAGAAATATTTCCCCAAAGAAAGTATGCAAATTGTCAATAAGTACATGAAAAGATGATCAACGTCATTAGCCATTAGGGAAATGCAAATCAAAACCACAATGATACCAGTTTGTATCCTCTAGAAGAGCAATAACAATAAAAAATTGCATATGTTGGCAAGGATATGGAGAAATTGGAATCCTTGTACATTGCTGATGGTGTGAAATGGTGCAGCCACTGTTTTATACATTGGAAAATAATTTGGCAATTCCTCAGAAAGTTAAATGTAGAATTACCGTATGACCTGCTAATTGCACTCCTAGGTATATACCCAAAAGAGTTGAAAATAGGCATTCACAAAAAAACTGGAACACATAAATTTATAGCAGCACTATTCTTAACAAGCAAAAGATGAAAATACCCCAAATATCCATCAGTAGATGATAGATAAGCAGAGGTGGTATATCCATACAATGGAATATTACTCAACCATGAAAAGGAATAGAGTCCCACTTGCATGCCACAACATGTATGAAACTTGAAAATATACTTGAAATAAGTGAGAGAAGCCAGACACAAAAGTTCACATATGGTATGACTCTGTTTACATAAAATATTCAGAATAAATAAATATTCAGAGACAGAAAACAGATTAGTGATTGACAGGGGCTAGGAAGAAAGACAAAAGGACAGTGACTACTTAATGAGTCCAAAGTTTCCTTTGGGATGATAAAAATGTTTTGGAACTAGATAGAGATGTTGGGTGTACAACAGTGTGTATATACTATATACCACTAAATTGTTTGCTTTAAAATGGTTAATGTTATGAAAATTTTATCCCAATAAAAAATCATTAAAAGTAGACAGATAGATAAATGTATTTATTTTAGGTCTCTTAACTAAATGAGATTCAAAACCAAGATTTTATTATGGATAATTGTACAAATATCTACCATATATTGGTTGACTAGGGCAGTTACAGTGCTTAGAAGTTTCCTTACAAAGGCCCTTCAGAGATGTATTGTTACCTTCATTTTAATGTATTATTACCCTCATTATCCAGATAAGAAAATTGGGTGGTTAGTGACTTGTCCATGATCACACATCTAATGACTGAAATCTTACAGGAAAAAAAGCACTTAGTCTATAACATTGAGTGAAACATTAATTTCATTTTGTTTGAAATGTCAAAGAATCTGAATAAATCAAAGAAAACTAAGATTTGTGCCTTAGTCATGTGTTCCCATGTTTGGATTCCCTTTCTTTGGAAAGAGAATTACCCTGTGCACCATCTGACATGTACCACCATGTGCCAGGCACTTCATCCTCACTCGTGCACATAAACTTCACAATGATCCTTAGTCTTCAAACAATCACAGGAAGAAAACATCGTTATCCCTTATTACACAGGGGAAGACTGGAACTCAGAGACTGCAGTAACTTCCCCAATGTTACAAAATGTCAGGATGAATAAAGGAGGATTCTAAACCAGGACTGTCTGGCTCCAGAAACTTTTTGTTCTTTCTTTATTACCCAGTCCCTTTTACCACAGAGCCTTTCCATAGGGGGCAATGTGAAGACAGTGTCCTCGATGACAAGGTCAGTTTGAGTCATCTCAGCAGCTCTGATATGGCTTGAACAATCTCCTACTGAGATAGAAGTTTTTCCCACAAAGACATGGTATTATGTTGCCCTCATAACGCACATTACACACCAGCAGCCCTGGAGCCACATCTGATTGTCTGGCCTGCATGTTTTTAAGAATAATTTGAATTAGTTGCCAACACTTAAAAAAATTACAGAACATCACACAAATTTTGCATTCTTCGCTCTGTTGTAAAAATAGAACTATCTGGCAAAGTTAGGCCTGTATTCCCAGGTGGCAAACATGAATGGAAGCATGCACTCTACATTGATTCTGCATTCATGTTACCTTGCTGACCAAGTGGAGCAATGGTGACCAAGGTTTTCTACTTTTGTGCTGGCCCTGTGCATTTTATTCATCAACTAATGTCAGAATTTTTCCTAAAATATCATATTCGTTTAAATTAACATGCGATACTTTATAATACATTCTTCCTGACCTTCTCTACATCCCAAAAGACAGAATGCATTTGTTGTCTATTTTAGAGACAGGAAAATTAAATGATGCATGGCCCTTGCCACTCCATCCCCAAAGAGTTGCAAAGATACTTGCATAACTGCTGCTGTGCCTCACCCACCAAGAGCCTTGAACACAGCTACACTCTAAACGAATGACATGTCAACACCTCTGACAGAAGACACATCTGTCATTACGTTAAACAGTCTGGGATACTCAGAAACTACAGGCAGAGAATGCCACCCAGCTGGTTTCACTGCTGCTTTGGATATGCGAGTGTCTTGCAATAAGCCTTTGTATACTGCTAGGAAAGCTCACTGTGGGCCAACTGGTCAGAGCCCAGGTCTCTGAAGCCCCAGAAGGAAGCAAAAATTTCTGGGTTCTCTGCGCTCACTGTTTGGAATGAAAGAAGGAAACTCAAGTCACATGGTAAACTCCAAGTTCAAGGGCTTAGCTGTTTCAGCTGGGGTGTCAGGACCACAAGATTGTTCTTCTCATATCCTCCTCTCATAGCAAATTCATGGAAGTTGACAGAGAAATTCTGTGTCAAGTAAGGGCCCTTTGAGGTGTGGCTGAGTGTAAAAAACTATGGACAGCTCCCTCGTTCCCATCTATCAGTCCTGTCATGTTCCTCCAATGCCATCCGCACTATCTATCCACCATGCTTGGGAACTAATGTCCTCAGGCTTCTAGAGGTAGGGGTTAGCAGTTGTAAGTGGGTAAACTGGGTCTTCCCCATGTTGAAGTCCTAACTCTCAGTGCCTCTGAATGTGACCTTATTTGGAAATAGCATCTTTGCAGATGTGATGAAGTGAAGGTGAGGTCCTACTGGATTAGAACTGGCTTTAAATCCAATGAGGAGAGTCTTTATAGGAAGGCCATGTGAAAACAAATGAACACAAAGGCACACAAGAAGAACATCATGTGACAGCAGAGGCTGAGACTGGACTTAGCTGCCGCAGCAGGAATGCCCAGGATTGCCTGCAACCATCTAGGAGAGCGGCGTGGGACATTCTCCCTCTGGACCCCCAAGAAGCAGCCAACCCTGCCAACACCTTGATTTTGGATTTTGGGCCTTTAGAAGGGAAAAAGAATAAATTTCTGTTGAGTCATCCAACTTATGGAAATTTGTTATTGCAGCCCAGGAAACTAATATAATGATCAAGACCAAAATTAGCAAAACCTGAACCTCAAGCCTAGGCACATCCCACGGCCTTCTGGGATTTCAAGATTGTTCTTTTTAAGCACCAGAGAAGGCAAGAAAAGCTTCATCTTTCTCTGCTGCATCACTTTTAATAAAAGGATTTGTTTCAGAAAATTTGCATTCAGTCAAAAGGCTGCAGGCTCCCCACACATCTCTCAAATCCCAACTTGACTTCACCTTTTCCTGGAAGCTTTCTTTGTCCTCTTCCTCAGGGTTAAGCAACCTGCTCCTCAGGGCAGCATGTGCTTTCAAAACTGCCCAACAGTGAAAATTACTACATATCAAATCTTATGGGAGGTAGCTATCACAGTGTATAGAGATATGCATATAATTATATGTATTTATTTTTAAACAAGAAAGATTGAAAATAAATGAGATCAGCATCCAACTCAAAAAACTAGAAAAAGAGGCAGAGCTTAGACTTGCAGTAAAGAAAAAACTGAAAGTAAAGAGAAATTGATAAATCAATAAATAAAACTTTAAAAGACTTCTATTAGAAAATGAGAGATCAATCAGATGAAAACCAGTTAGGAATATAGAATATATTTTTTAAAAGACAACACAATTAAATAGTTCCAAGTTAAGATTTTGGTATCATTCATCTGACCATCACATCAAATGTTCTCATTCAGACATTATCCAGCGCCATCATTTACGACCAGAAACTCTGGTCCTTATGTCTAGTGGCACTTACTGTCCTTTATGCCCTGATATTGCAGCAGCATTGACAGAGCATTCTATGGGAATGAGAGGGTTTCCATGACCACAACTAAATAAATAAAAACAAGTAACCTGCCTTATGAGTTTTGAAAAGGTTATTATTATACTCTTTAACAGTCTTTCCCCACAACCAGGAACTTTCTAACAATATGAAAAGCAGTACTCAAATGCTTTATTATAAATACATGCACATTAACCAACATAATAATTTAGATTCTTTAGAGAGTTACTCTGAATTCCTAAGTCAGCCTATACTTCTGTTACATCTCCATTGAATATGAATGTAAAAGTTGAGTATACTGGCCGACATATAGCTGTTTCTCAAAAAATAATAATTTCCTCTCTTTCCCGCCTTCCATGTATTTGTCCACCTTATCACTCATTAGGCTGTAACCTGCTTTACCAACAGGAATTGCTTCTAACTAAAAGTACCAGCTCAGAGTTCCTACATAATTGTTATTCAGGTGTGAGATGAAGATGTGCACATTCCACTTCCTTCCCAGCTGCTCTGACAATGTTTCCTCCAGGGCCACCGGGCTACTCTAAGACAGCATCCCTAAGATTCCCATGTTCTCACGACACGCATCATGTTGGACAGAAGTCTCTAGTGTCCAGAGCAAAATTCCCCATCAGATAAGGAGCAATTACAGGCAGAGACACCAGGTGCATTTACTGGAGAGCCCAACTCACCTGAAAGAACCAGCTCCCCTGAAGCATGATAAGGCTTGAACGCAGAAGTTCCAGAAGTACATTGTTCTGCAGGAGGAACTCCATAAAGGTGACCAGGCCTGTCAAAAAGATGACCAAAACCAGCAGCTGGTGCACAAAGATTTCCAGCAATTCCCGGCCATGAGTGTGGTTGTGGAAGATAAAAGCTGATAAAGGGGAGAAAACACAGTTCGTCTTTCTCAATAAAACAAAGGCCATCATCACTGTTTCTCTCTCTCCCTCTTTCCATAGAATTGTATACACACAAAGCACAGGTATCACTGATTCTCATAAAACTGCAACTCTGCAGCATTTTTGAAGTCATCATGCCTCTTTGGAGTCGAATCATTGAAATATAACCCTGCTTTTCTCTTCCCCAACCTTTATTCTTTCCTCTAACACATTTCAACATTTTCAACTAACTATATTTCAAAGCATCCTGTATGCAGGATGAGGAATAATAAGCACAAAGAAGCAGCGGAGCAAAAATTAAGATGACACACAGATGAATAAGCCGAAGCCTCCCCACTTAAGGAACTCAGTCCACTCACAGATCATAAGGGCGAACTTTTGACGGGTATGACAAGATGCTCTTAGAAGCTGCCAAGAAATAGAAACTAACTGCCTTTTGCATCCACTGGAGAGATGCCACCTTCATCTTAATCCTTTTCATTTGTATAAACAGAAAAGGATATTCATTCAAAATATAGCAACACCCTGAGATATCAAGAATCAGGCTCTTAGTTGTTGGCATCCATCTTTTATCTAGCCCTTGTTCCCAAAGAGGAATGGGCAGCAGTTTTATTTTCAGATGCCAGAAGCAACGTGAGCAGGGAGTGACTGCCTTCTGATTAATTTGTGCCTTTTTAAATTTCATGATCTATTTCTAATACCTGTAATAAATGACAACAAATCATTAAACACTTCCCTCCTACAGGAACTAGGAATTGAACTAAAAATACTGTTTTAATTAACCTCTCAAAATCCTGAGCTCATATTTTTAGGTGGCTGAATTTTTCCAACCCTACTTATCACAGGCTTTTGCCATATCAATATGAAAAGGGCTAGTTAGTAGATGGAGGAAGCTGTTCTGTTGTGAGTGGTTGCCTCATTTCAGGATATTCATGCTTCACTGAGTTCACTCTTCACTTGTTAAAAGTGGAAAGAATGTTAATGTTTAGGACAACGTAGACATAAATAACCATAGAAAGTGGTTTTTTAATATAGATGTGAAGTTTGAAGAAACCACTTTGAATCATTGTGTTTGCCTAATTCTACTATATGAGTCAGTAGGCAGAGAAGATCTTTCTCATCCTGCCTAGGACACCCATTATGGCCAGAAAAATGGCCCTATCAATCATGGCTGCACCAAGACACCAAAGTTTTATTATTATAAAGGCCTACACAAATGCCCACTAATAAAGAAAGGTACTGAAAATACTCACTTATACTTACCCTCCACAAATAAGGCATTTGACAACATTAACTTGGGTAAGGAGGAGGGAAGTGAACGGATGGTGACACATAGGATGTCTGCCACACCCACCAGCCCAAAGAAGAAATACATAGTGAAATGATGCCAGTTAAGGAGGTGGTTCCACTGGCCCTCTTTAAATAAGATCAGGTGGGGCCCTCCAGGAATAAACTGCTCCGCAGCCATGCCTGTAGAAGAACATTTCACAGTTTTAGCAACCCTTTCCATAACTTTACCTAAAATGCAAGAAGATGCAGGAAGATCAGCTCATTGCTCATTTTGATCTACTGTCGTCTTGTGACATCAATTCCTTTATCTAGATTGTTCCCCAAGAGCTGAGCACTGGTGCTTTAGGGTTGTTTTAGAGGTTCAGATGCTGGTTCAAATAACCAGTTTTAGTCAAAGATAACCAGTTGAGTCAAATAGCTCTTTCAGATCTTCAGTGCTGATGATCTTTGTTCCACTGATTATTCCAATCTAATGACTAAGATAAATCCTGAATAATTTGGGGGTATGATTTTGTGATTAATCTTACAAAGGCTGATTACTTCCTTCTTAGATATTATTATGCATGTTTGGGTAGCTGCCATGAAGTAGGGGGTTACACTTGGTCCCGAAGAAAAACATTAAAGAGTTCAGCTTTTCCTCAGTTAAGGAAAACTGAGAAAGCCCCGAGGGATAAGCATGTGATCTAGTCATTTATGGAAACAGTTAAACTTTTTAGTGATGCTGCTTTCTTGTTAGTCTATAGAATTTGACAAGGAAATTTCTCTCTTTGGAAACATCACTCTGTAATTTGATGGTCATAGCAAGGACATATCGCCATGAATAAAGCATAAAGAAATCTAATGGGAAAAAGTTTTACCTTTTATAAAAGACAGGCTGCAGTGGAACTCTTAAAAACACAGCACATTTTCATAGAATATTCATAGTTAGTGGAAAGGCCTCAATAAGTCATGTGGCCTAACCTCTTGGTCTAATTTAGGAACCAAGGAAGGATGAATGCATGAGGCAAGATCTTCTACAGCTTCTCAGCAATGATTTATTATTGAAGTGTTTCCATAATCACTTTATTATTTTGCTTTTGTTTGCAAAATGGTGTTTGATTTTGAATGGTATCTTTCTTTCAGGGATCAGAACAATAGATATAAAATGATCTCAGAACCTCCAAAAAATTCTATAAAGGAAATTTACCTTAACTGTGTAGGCAAGTTAATTACTATGACTAATTCATAAATAGGCCTTTGTATAAACATAAGTATCACATTCCTAACAAATTATTAATATGTCAGAGAGAAATTACAATTAGAACGTGTTAAGAGATTTTTCATTTAATAATTCATTTGGCAATTCCTTGACATTATATTGGATATTTTCTTTGTATGTAAAAATATCCAAAAGGAGAAAACAGAACACAGAAATTGTCCACTCACCGGTTAAAGCCATGCCAATTAATGCAGTTCCTTCCAAAATTTCTGCTAGATGGAATACTGCTTTGGAACCAAGGTAGAAGGTCTGCTTTTGCTTTTTACAGACATATTTCAGAATACTCTGTGTGCTCCACCAAAGGCTCAAAATAATAAAGAAGGTTCCAGGGAGAGCATGACCTCTGAAATTCCCTACAACCTACAAGAACATACAGATGATAAAAACATTTATTTCTGGAACCTAGACAAAACATCACTTGTCCCCATAAAGTACACTATCTTCCAATGATTATGGATATATCACTGATTCAGAGGATCCTGTATCACTCTAGACAATAGTAGATCCCACTACAATATCAAAAATACCATTGAAAATAAAAATTCACATTTGATAAGCACTTAACCATGCACAGGTCACTATGTCAAGTGTTTTATATATGATCTCCACTCTTATTTTTGCAATATACCCATGAATGAGGGATTATTATGCCATTTCCTATAGGGATACAAAGGTTTTAAAAAGTTAAATGCTTGCCCAGATAGCACAACTATTCAGCAAAATTGTGTTGTTTTTAACACAGAGATCAAAAGTATGCACTTCGTCATATAGTTGCCCTTCAAGCATATTAAAAGGAAAGTAATAAGTATTACCTTTATATTTAAAACTTAAAATCATGTGAAATGGCCTACAAAGTTTTTAATGTAGATAATTTCAAAGTGCATAGAGGTACCCATTAGTGTTC